CCGTGCGCTCACCGGCTCTGGCCGCTCGCAGGGGACCACAAGCAGGAGCGATTTCACTACAGACACTACCAAAGACTGAAGGCAAGAACATAATCTAGGAAATATTTTCCTTTGCGTGTTTTCCCTTCATCCATCATCACTTTTTATCCACTCCACCTTGCAGGCAGCTTTATACGGATGCTGTTTGATGTAGAAATGTGTATATATTGTATATAAAATAACACACACGCAGCAGGTGATTTTTTTTTTTGTCTGGTTGGGCATCTCAGCAGATGTGATGATGGGGAGGAGAGTGGGGACGGATGGGAGCTGGGTTGGGGTGACATCCATCTCCGCAGCAGCAAGAACGACGGACCGAACCCTCCTGCAGCGGCACCGCCTCTCCCCAACATACCACGAGAGGGTCGGAAAACAGGAGAAGCTGGAAGAGATCCCTAGAGGTGCCTGGTCCGACATCCGTGCCGGGCTTTGTCGTTACATCCAGTCTTGGCTGAACTCCTGCCTGTGTTTAGGTGAGCGGAACAGGGAAAACCTCCCTGGAGTCAGAGCTTCGAAAGTGAAAGGAGAGCTAGTGGCGCAGCTCAATGAAAACCCTGGAAATCAACAGGATTCACGAGCTTCCTCCCGCAGGCATTGCTCACAGCTCCGCGCCCACGTCCAAGAATGGATATTGTCTGAAATTGGTTTCAGTTTTGATCTCCGCGTGACACAGGTACAACGAGTGTTTTCAAACGGAGAGCTCATGTACGAGAGCACGGCGCTGCTCGCACCATTGCTGCTGCCGTGGCTGGGAAATAAACACAACCCAGGACAACTTCTTAACAAAAAGGAAGAGAAAAAAGAAAAAGCATTAGAGCTTTTTTTATTCTTTTTTGGTTGTGAAAAATTTAATTTCAGCATAAAAAACACTCTCCAGTTTGTCTCTGAGTTAGACTGAAACCGAAGAAGTTCTTCAGATGCTGTGTCTCTCCTTCCCTTACGCTTTGCGGCAGGGAGAAGGGAAACAGAGTCTGGGGAAACCCCTCTGCAGCACGTAAGGAAAATTAATTCAGCCGGGAGAGATTAAATACTTCCTCCCAGAGCTGACACTGAATTTTTTCCCCATTAAAACCAGCTCCAGGAAAAAGTCAGTTTTCTAGGAATAGTGTTTCTTTGGGTACTTCTCAGCATCACATTTCCTCTCCCAGTGGATCAGAGGGATTTCACCGAGGCACAACGTGATGGAATACGACGGGAAATCCCAGCAGTTTGGTCACTGGAAGTGTTTTCCTGGTGACAGAGGTATCGGAGGGGCAATTCCGCACCCCAAAAAAAACCTGTCTTGTCCAATACAGTTTATTTAGTGCATATTCTTCTGTGCAGTGATGCAGGCCAGGCTGACCAGCTCTTGGAGGGCTGGAGAAAAGGTCTCCCACCTCCTCGCAGAGAGCCTGGAGGGTTCCTCTTGGAGTTGGTCCAAAATCCTGCTCCAATATTTACCTGATTTTGGAGCTGGGATGTGACAACAGACCTTGTCCCGCACACAGAATGGCTCTGGGGCACAGCCGGGGCTCTGGGGAGCTGGATGGGCTTTGTTAGAGCTGGATGGGCTTCGTTAGAGCTGGATGGGCTGGTTCCTGAAGTGCTGGGAAGAAGGTGAGAGGTGTCAGAGAGCCAAAGCGCTGCTGTGTGCAAGCCTGGCAAAGGTAGCCACCTGCATCCCTGCTGCCATCGCTCTGCGGGAAAAAGAGAGGAGATGTGAGAGAAGAGGAAGGCTGGAGGAAGGCTTCCAAGCTTGGATGCAACCTCCTCACATCCAGGGAAGAGAGCAACAATGTGCCTGAAGCATCTCCTGCCACCTCCCTTGCAAGGAAATCCCTTATGGGACAGCTTGTCCCATAGCTGCAACAAACACAACGTCCCTGTGCTGGTCTTTGCTGGCCAGGGACGAGGTTGTCCCCATCCCAGTGCTTATGTCCCCTGCTGATGGCTCAGAGCCATCTGCTATCTCTGGTTATGGATGTGGAGCTCCACCAGGTCCGAGGACTGGAGCAGCTCCCATGCGAGGACAGGCTGAGAGAGTTGGGGGTGTGCAGACTGGAGAAGAGAAGGCTCCGGGGAGACCTTCTGGCAGAACTTCTGGGGGGTCTCCAGGAAAGATGGGGAGACCCTGGGCCAGGTTGCCCAGAGAAGCTGTGGATGCCTCATCCCTGGAGAGGTTCAAGGCCAGGCTGGATGAGGCTTTGGGCAACCTGGGCTAGTGGGAGGTGTCCCTGCCCATGGCAGCGGGTGGCACTGCGTGGGCTTTAAGATCCCTTCCCACCCAACCCATCCTGGGATTCCACGATTTACTGCCTGCTTGCAGATCCCAGGTTAGGGACGCTTGGCCATCACCGCACCTTCTGGGCAAGGATGAACCACCCAGAGCCAGCAGGTGCGACCAAAGCCAAAACTGGCCCCAAAAGTCAGATTGTCCCTTCCAGCCGGCTGGCAGGGGTGAGTGGGGCTCTGATAACCCCAGATGGATGTTCAATGGCCTTGGGAGATGCTCTAAGGGATCTGACACAACAAAACCCCCAAACCACCCCACCGGAGACCACAGTGAGTCTCAGAAGAGAGATCAAGGCTTGAGCGGGTCTGTAGAACTGCACCGCCCCAAATCCCGTGGCTGGGAAGACTCCCCCAGTTACGAGCCGGGGTTGGGAGTGGAAGCAAAGGGCTGGGGAGCTGTGGGCACAAGATCCAGCTGCGGGATGGTTTTTGTTCACTTCCACTGACGCTTCGCACTCGTGTTTTCCCTCCCTGGTGCGATAGCTCAGACCAGTCACAGCCACCCCACCAGCGACCGGAGCAGCTTCTGAAGGCTCTGAATTCAGAACGTGATCTCCAAGGCGCAGGGGAGGGACGTACGTGAGTCAAAGGGAGCTTCTTCACCACCAGGCAGCAGCCGGGCTGCAGCGTTCTCGTACACTGGGACCCAGAGCAAGCTACAGCCGCCCCGTCCTTCGCAGTCTCGGTCATCAGCTCCACCCGAAGGAAACGCTCCTAGGAAACATGAAAAAAAAGGAACAAAAACACTCAGGGTGAGCTGAGATACTGGAATAGGGTGATTCATAATTTTTTTTTTAACCCATTGGGAATTGACTTGCAACATGATGGTTTAAAAAAAAACAAAACAAACCAAAAAAACCAAACCCCTGGTGACAAAAATAATTAAGCAGAAGCCAAGAGCAGCTTGCGAGGAAGGAAGTGAAGTAAGGGCTGGCAACCGCTGCAGGCAGAAAAAAAGGAACCCACACGCCGGGACTGAGATGAGAAGGTAGGATGTGTGGAAGCCAACACCCAAATGGAAGGACTGGGGAAAAAAATACCCACTGCAACCTTGTGTTTTGCTGCTGAAATCGTGGTGCGGAGCGGTGTGAACCCAGGAAAAAGGTGACCTGGGCTATTCCGGTCTGTGCCATCACAAGCCAGGGCATAGTCCACGCTCATCAATCTTACGGTGATAATCTTTTATGCTTCTCTACTACACACCCCTCCTCTAAATATAACAATCAGAGATGAGATGATTCTATGAGCAGTGGGTGCTGTCTCTCTCGGTACCTTTTTAAATCGGCAGCAGCCCATCCTGCCCGAGATATCAGCGCTTGCAGAGCTGCCTCGAGACTCCAAATCCCATCGAGCGAGCGATGTGCCTGGGATTTTCCCCTTCCCAGCCATCTGCTCTGCCTCTGGAACGCTTATCCATCAGCTGAGGAACTGCTGCCGGTCGCAGGCTGGGCTGATCGCCTGCGGCGATGGTTTGCTTGGTGCAATGTGCTACGACGTGCAGGTACCAGTGCCCTGAATTGCCCCGCTCGAGGATTGGCTTATCTTGGAAAGGTTTCACTTACCCCAGCCAAGGCTAAAAGGTGTTCCAGGGACTTGGACATGAGCAAACACTTCTTCGCACGTGTCACCGCGACATAAAGCAGGTTCCATTCATCCTCGGGATACATGCCTAGGTTGGAGGAGGGATCAGCAATAACTTCAGAAAACAAGAACGAACAGATCTGCCGTTCTTCTCATGCTTCAGCATGAATGAGAATTACAGGATGGTTTGGGTTGGAAGGGACCTTAAAGATCGTCCAGTGCCCCCCCCTGCCATGGGCAGGGACACCTCCCACTAGCCCAGGTTGCCCAAAGCCTCATCCAGCCTGTCCTTGAACCCCTCCAGGGATGGGGCATGTGGAAGGATGCCCATACTTC